AATAAAGTGTAATAAAAAGTAAAATAAAATACAAATAATAAAAAAAGTCAATTTGGAAAATTGCATTTGGCAGACGCTTTTATCCAAAGAAGAGTACACTGCTCTGAAGGCATACATTTGTATCAGTTTATCATGTTAATTTTGCCTGGATTCGAACCCATCATCCTGATGTTGCGAGCACCATGATCTACCGTTTGAGCACAGAAAATGTTATTTTGTTAAAAATATTAAACTTATAATACTGTTTATAACATACTATTTAGGTTTCATTTAAAATTTGCATACGGTTTAAAAAAAACTTTTTTTGTAAGCGGACACGTTTTAATTTTAAAGGGTTTACCTGATGTTTTTAATATTTGTATTACATATATTTGTCTGCATTTCATTAAATAAAAATCGTAACTTACCCATAATTTGACCCACTTGAAAAGTAAAAAAAAAAACTCCTTTATTGTTGGTCTGAACTAAAGTTACCATGGTAAACCATCGTAAAGGTGTTCTAATCAACCGGACGGTGTCCCCAACAGAACCGCTGGAAAAGAGAATCGACGCTAACCGGATTGTGACGGTATTTCATACCTGCTCCTCCTCAGCGCTCAGACGGCCGGCCATCCTCTGCTCTCCCCGCTGGAGGATCTTATTAAAGCTCACACGGCTGTTTAGATCAGACTGTAGAAATCAGACTGGGCTTTTTTAGGCCCGTTAGCAGCGATCAGGCTAACCTCAGAAGCAGCGCGAGACTCGCGGCGTTTTCAGCCCGCCACTTCAGCACGGCACGCGACACAGCGGCTCGTTCATGATCCGGTCCGGGTTCGGTTGGATCCACAAATATATATTTTTTTGCACACATACACTAATGGTGCTCTAGCGGAGCTTCGGTCCGCCCGCCTGTGTGACGAAGGGAGAAATTCATCACGGTGCTCCGTCGAAACTCGTCGAAGGCCGGTTAGTTTGTTTGGAGGTACGCTATTCTATTAAGCGATCGGCTCCGTTTATATTAAGAGGCTATAACGCGAGAAGGCGAACGAAGATCCGACGCTCCTGAAAAGCAGCAGCAGTAGTGAAAGATGAAAGATGACGCTCCCTCTGCAGGCCACAATGGAGAACTGCAAACTGAACGACGCTCCTCCTCTCCATTCATAAAAACCTCGAGGAGTC